CCCAAAAAGTAATCCGTTACTTTCGTGGCGTTACTTTCAACACTATTGTCTTCATCTAAGAAACAAAGAGAAGAGGGCTATTCAAGTTCTTATTGTTGCAACCTGTTCCATTTCCGCACAGGCGGCGGCGGAGTATCGGGTATCGTTAATGGGAATCCCGGAGAAAAGCTCACCGGAGAAAAGCTCACCGGAGAAAAGCTCACCGGAGATAAGCTCACCGGAGAAAAGCTCACCGCAAAACCGGCGGATGCGGAGAAAAGCTCACCGATTTTTTTTTCTTTTTATATGGAGGCTGTTGGATCATGCGTAACATATATCAATTTATTATCATTAAAGTTCGTCAGCTTTGTCAAAAAGAAAATGTCCTTTTTTTGTATTATTTGCCAAGCTTATTAAGTATATTGCTTCCAAATTAATAACGGCGGGCCAGTGTTTTCTGCGGCTTACTTTCTAGGCAACTAAAGCCTAACTGAAAACTTTATGAACTTGAATAACGTGAAAAAGTTCGAAAATTTGTCTCCCTAAAACCTAAAAATCAAAATTGTAAACACCGAAAATCCGAAAGTGCATGCGCAACAACGCGGTGCCTGAAATTCTCTTTGAAGCTTTTATTGACCTTTGAAAACAGGATAAAACAGTCAGTAGGATATCGAGGCTTCTTTCTTCCACAGACATGCACGTTTTCTAGCCGTTCGTGCTGGTGTGTCCGCACGTTGCCTTTAGTGATAGTGCCCTTCTAAGGTGAGCCACTCATGACTTTCAGAGCTGCCCACTGGCACCGTTGTTACTCGTGACCTATATACGAAGCAGGCTTCTGTAAGGTAGCGAGTAGGGCGAGTTGGTAAACGGTATGCATGATGAAAACCGCTCAAACGACGACGACGGAGTGAAGACAACGAACACGACAGGACGAAGCTGTTCTCGCAACTAAAGTTTTCTTAGTGAAATTAACAGAAAGAAAACAGCGCAGCCGACACTGATTGCATCAACAAATACCTATTTAACTATTAGCCACTACAGAATATTTGGAGCTGAAACGGTTCACACACCGCTATTCATATTAGCTCACAAAGAACAAACCTCTTTATTTGACAGAGCTACCGACGGCGCACCCTCAGTTGTCAATAAATTGTCTTTTTTACCAGTGTACGATGTTTTGATATCATTTTTGCGGCTTCAATTATATACAGATGATAACCAATTCCTGAGGAATCAGTAAATATGCCCAATGACCTTCAAGAATATTACAAGAAAATGGATTTTTTTTTTTTTAATGAAGTGGCGATTGCGAATTGTGTTAAATTGCCACGTTTGACGCAGAATCCGATAAGTAAAAAAAAAAAAAATCGGTGAGCTTTTCTCCGCATCTGCCGGTTTTGCGGTGAGCTTTTCTCCGGTGAGCTTATCTCCGGTGAGCTTTTCTCCGGTGAGCTTTTCTCCGGTGAGCTTTTCTCCGCCGCCCCGTTAATGGAGTCATCGGACCGATCGACTAAAATCCTCCATTCTCGAAGTCGGAAATCTGTAGAAGTCATCATACATCTAGCCAAAACTAGAATAAAAGAATTGATTTATGCCAGACAATAGCAAAGCATAGTTATAACAGTAAGGGGATAATTAAATAGTAAATAAGGTTTGGCTCGATATTCTTCTTCCTTTGGTTCTGAACAGGTCGAGCCTCGGTTGAGACGTTAGTGAATAAAAAAAAGTTTCCAGGAAATAAATATAAGTAATCGAAAAAAAAGGACACTCATAACAACAATTAATTGGAACGTCGGTTAAAAAAATGAAATGTAAACACACGTTTGCCGTGTGTACCTTTCTTGGTGCCGTTCAAAAACGCACGGAGCACGAATCGACTGCAGTTTACTCCGGTGTTCTCCAGATAGACGTCCGCTGATGCCACGGGCAGCGAAGGGCCTAAGAACGAAGGGCGAGGGTAGGACGGGCCGGGGAGGAGGAAGCAGACAGAACGCTAAAGAGAGAAAGAGGTTTCCCCGTCTCTTCTCCAGCGTTCCGTCCGCTTCCTCCTCCCCGGCCCGTCTTACCCTTGCCCTTCGTTTCTCGAGTTTCACACTCTCCCCAAGCCCAGAACATCAAGTCTACCATAGTTTTGTTTAACCCGAGACTGGGGTATTTCGAAAATTCCCCACTCTCGGGTTAAACAAAACTATGGTTAACTTCCACCAGCTCGCCTGCACCCTTACAATTTTTTCACTATCAAGTCTACGTCAGTCACTATTATGTTTATTCTGCTTCAGATAAGATGCGTCCTGCTGGGGGAAAAACAGGAAGAAGAAAAAGGAAGACTATTACCATTTTCAAAGTGCTCGCCAAAAACTGACTCACAAAAAGGGTAGCTGAGGTGCAGATAACCTGGCTGGAATTCACAAATAAAGTGGGCCAACTCTAGAAGTTGATGAAAGAAACAGAGAAAAATGCATCCTGTTTTCGAGAAGATGATAAGTGTGCAGCAAGGAACGAGGATGCTTGTGGCAATAGCATCGTCACATATTATCACATCACTTCTAGTGGATTTTGGGTATACGGAGCGTTGTCTGGTGTTGTGACACAATGAAAATGGTCGTAGTCATTATAAACGAGGACATTGTTAATTATTATCTGTGCACTTACCGTCTGGAGCTTCTCGAAGAGGTACACAATCACTTCGCGTCCTCCTCTCCCAGTTTTCGATCACAGAAAAAGGACTAAAAAAAGCGGATATGATTTGCCGCCCCCATCCCCCCTCTTTTTCTTTTTTTTGTAGAAATGTTTTTTTTTTTTTTTTTTTACATTGTTGTTAGGGTGTAAAAAAATAGATTTAGGGGCTTGGTGTTGCAAACAAAAAAGGCTTCGCTGAACTGTAGGGTGCCAAGCCTCCCTTTGCGCGTGACAATGTCACTGCGCTCAACTTTACCAAAATAAAAACAACCCTTCCTTTATAAAGGGGGGGGGGGGGGTTGGTCCTAAAAAAAAAAAGTAACGGATTACAAGGAATCCGTTAGGTAAAAAATGTAAGGGAATTACTTTAAAATTACTCTAGAAAATATGTAATTATTCCGTTACTAAATTACTGATAAATGTAAGGAATTACAAGTAATTGCGTTACTTGTAACGGATTACTTGCAAGTCTGCTGATAACAAGCAGAAAAAGAAAAAAGCGGCTGCTGGGCGCACCCTTCCGGGTCTCGATGCTTATCAGCGTGTAGCTCGCGCGGGGCTGTGGGTCTCGTGACGGGTGACAAGAGAGGAGGGTGGGGGCGAGGACCACAGGGACAGCCCCTCTCCCTCTCCCCAGGCATTCCAGAGAAATTTATTTCTGTAACCTCGAAAAAAAAGAAAACGATTTTAGCGCGCTTGAACCTTGGAAATGGCGGCAGGGCGGCCAGAAGCTCGGCTTGCGCCCGAGCGAAGAAAGTACTCAGCGCGAGCTCGCAGTTTGACTGCTGCAACGGCAGGCGTGCTCTCGCAATGCTCGATGTTCTTGCAGGCGTGTACGCATGCTACCTTCGCTGCGTCTTGAATTAAAGTGAAACGGAGTCTAGACGTACATTTTTTCACGTGGTCGCGTCTTCTGCGAGAGAGATTCGAGCTGAATAAGTAAATTGAGGCAACAAAGATGGACAAAGTTTTAAAGTTCTGTCAAAAATATCGGCTCACCAGCGTCGCGCGTTTAAGTAAAACAACAACAACAACAAAAAGCTGTTAGTTTTAGTTGCAGTATAAGCGAACATCAGCGCAATTGAAATATAAATATAATTACTTGCATTACGCGGACGATCTGAAATCGATGAACCGGCGCTCCCAGCCTTCCGGAAACATTGGCTGCCACGGCTGAAACGCTAGGCGTGCCCACGCTGCCGATCTGTACGTTCAGTATCAAGCGGGCTCCGGAGAGCCGTTTGATTACATCGGTACAGTTTGCAACATGGTCACCGGTTTGAGCAAACGTGCAACAACTTTTCCCAAACGAGTCGCCCATTTGCCCAGACGAGCGACCCATTTGCCCAGACGAGCGACCCGTTTGCCAAAGGAGTGACCTGTTTGTCCAAATAGGTGACCGTTATGGCTCATACGGGGGACCCCTTTGAGCCATACGGGCGACCCCTTTGACAAACTGGTGACCGGTATGGTTAAACTGTTACCGGTATGGACCCGTTTGTTTTCATATAGGCGCCAAATGGTTTTTTTCAGTAGGGATAGGCTTTTATGGGAGCGATGCAGTAATCTGCCTAGAGGTGGCGCAAGCGTACGATGGTACAAAAGTGCTGAATACCCTGACTTACAAAATTATTTTATAAAATTATGGTAAAACTTTATAATATGAAGTTTATAAAATTCATCCAGCGCTTTACGATGGTCTAGTGTTCTGGGAATAACTCGCGGAGATGCTGCGGTGCTTCTGCTTTACTACATACGAACAGTGCTATAGCTATAGTCGCAATTAAAATTAGTTTGATTCGTATATTTGTTAACCGAAGTACCAGGTGTTTAAGGGAAGCAATAGTCGGCGTTTTCCTCGTCTCAACAATAAACTACGCATATCCGAACGCTCCGTCTCCGGCCACATACAGTGCTAGTGGCTAGAATGAGATGGCGCTTTAGAGTGTGCCGTTACCTTATTCAAAAGATACGAGCAATGTTCTCAAATCTTCAATAATAAAGCAGGTCCCGTTCACAATAGCAGACGTCTTTCACCTTCATGATTCGTGGGCTTTGTCGACTGTCACTATATTGGAGAAATTCTTTTAAAAATCGCATTTAACAATTATATCACGCAAATGTAATTTCTAAAACGCTGGCATACCAACCACTAGCGCTACATTTGGACGGAGACTAAGCATTCCATCGATGCGTAGTTTATTTTAGCGGTGGAGAAAAATGTGGGTTATTTTTATCGCAAGAAACGCCTGCAGTGTTAATATTTTTGTTATTTATATATTTTACTAACAATATTTTAGACTACTTCCCTTTTTTAACCTAAAACTCCTCCAATCTAACAGGATGCCATCAACTACGATGCCGTGAAAAAAATGCAATATTTGGAACAAGTATTTCTCGAGTCACTGCGGACACATTCGTCTCCATCAGGGTAATGTATACGAACATTTTATTATTATTATAATACTATTAAACGCAAAGGTGAAAGCGAGCTGGACAAGAATGACGAAAATAATCCCTGGTGAGGAGGAACAAGAGGGACCAAGGACAAACACAAATCTCCAAAAACAGCTAGGTGACTGGTGCGCGACCGAACAAATCCGCCTGGTTCGGGTATCGAACCCGGGACCTCTCCATTACACGTGGAGCGCTCTACCAACTGAGCTAACCAGGGGTTAAACGTCAGTAGAGCAAACGGGTTTTATCAGCTGCCACCAGTCTAACACCAACAACGGTGAAGCTTGCAATTTTAAGGTTATGATTATAATGCGATTAAATGCAAAGGTGTAAGCGAGCTGGAAAAGAATGACGAAAATAATCGCTGGAGAAGAGGAACAAGAGGGACAAAGGACAAACACAAATCTTCAAACACAGCTAGATGACTGTTGCGCGATTGAAAAAATCCGCCTGGTCCGGGTATCGAACCGGGACTTATTTTCGTCATTCTTGTATCAAGTGTATCAAATATAAGCTGGCAACAGTGCTAGCCAAAGTTTATAAAGAGAGCTCGCTGGCCATATACGGCAGCCAGTCTCGTGCCACTATCAGATGCCACGTCTTCTGTCACAGTGCTAAACATGGCGTCAGAAGTGGGATATAACGCTGGTCTTGCACCCTCGTCACGGAACAGTGGTTTTTGGTCAGCTGAATCTACTCGAAGCATGGAAAGACTGCCGCCGTCAGATCGCCTCGTGTGGTCAGAGAATGCTGCTGAAAACTTCAAAAACATTTTGCCAGAGCATCGAATTGTACTTCAAGGCCACGCCTATTTCCAACCCACGAGCCAAGGCGCAGAAGGCAGCCGTGTTTTTACATGTTGCAGGTCAGAAGGTTATTGATATTTTAATGTATTCCACCTTCCGGCAGAAAGGCAAGACGACTACTTCATCATCGTACTGAGGTTCGAACGCTACTGCGCCCGAAGGCGGAATAAAACGTACGAGCGCTATGTCTTGCGCTCACGGCAACAGCAAGCTGAGGAGCCCTTCGAGCCATTTTTGCGAGGCGTGCAACTAAAAACGCAAAAGAGTAATATCGGTGATCTCAAAGGCTCCATGATACGTTGTCACCTAATTTCCGGAACGGCAGAAACAAAATTGAGAATTCGACTTCTGGGCGAAAATGACCTCACGCTTGAGAGAGCCATTCAATTTTGAAAGCCATTGAAAGCCGCAGAACTGACAGCAATTCAGAACCGATCGTGGGAAGAGAACGAAGTGAAAGTCAACGCCATGCAGAAGGCGTGAAGAGAGCAACGCAATACTGCGACCACGGTGCAAGAAACATTTAGGTGATGACTCTCTGTCCGCCGCGGCGACCACATTATGTTCGACGCACCGAGCGCGCTTCACTCGCACGGGGATAAATGGCGCCCAAGTATGGGATCCCTCCCAAACCGACTGCTCCGGTTGTTTCTTCCAGCGCTGGTCCCGCATTCCCTCGCTCACCGCTTCTTGTTGTACCTCACCACCGCGACGCCGCCACCAAGTCGCCAGAGTCCGTAAATCTGTGCTCTATTTCCACTTCTTCTTCGGCTTAAGGCTCACCTTCGTGCACGATGGCGGCACCTGTCATCGACACTGTAGTGGTCGCTATTTGTCCAGCTAGTGGCGCCCTCTTAGTGTAGAGGGGCGTGCGTGTTCTTTAGAAGAAGCAAAGGGGAGTTCTTCACGAGCAGCCGTCGGTGTCGGATGTCTTTTACTGAGCTCCGCCTCACAGGGTTTGAGAGGTAGGCTCTGAATCCTACATGGTGTCAGAAGTGGGATATGGCAAGCTCTGATAGCACAACCGATTCCACACCCTGGAGGGGCATCGCTGATAACACACACCACAGCGCACTATAGCAATTAACACTCACACCTAACACACGAAAAATAAAGCAAAATTCAAACAAACCGCGCTGACTGACAACTCTTTTTATATAACTTTGTCTTCTTCAACCTCTAGCACCACCGAATTTCCCAATTCACGCGCACCGATCTCCTAGATGCCTAAAAATGTTTTCTATTTTTCTGTCAGGTGTAAAAATGTGTACTTATACAGTTGTTATAGTTCCTGGCGATATGTTCTGCTTCGATAATTTCTCGAGTTAATTGGTTTCTGTTCCTGCCTAAAATTGTACAGGATGGCAAGTGAACGTCGCACCCGCAATCCCGGCAGTGTATGCCTAGATGCCCTGAGTTGGCTCTGGAGCTGTTGTTGTTGTGTTCCCGGAGCCTATCGTTAAGGCATCGTCCGGTCTGACCAATGTACACTTTCCCGCACGAAAGGGGAAATGAGTACACCACTTCATCGGCACACTCAACGAACCTGTTCTGATGGTTTTTGGTGCAGCATACTGTTCGGTGGAAATCAGGTGAGTTGACTTGTTTACACAAGTTGCCAAGCTTATTGGGAGCAGTAAAGACGACAGTGATGTTGAACTTGTTTGTAATTTTCTTGATTCCATGGGAGAACCTGTGGAAGTATGGAAGCACGACCGGTCTCGTAGATCTTTCTCTGGCTCTTGGTGTGATATATGATGTCGTATTTTTTGTTTTCAAGATGCTCTCAGCAATCGATGTTAATAATGACGTGGGATATCCGGCGGATGTTAATCTGGAAATTTGGGCATCGAAGCTTATTGAAATAGAATGCTCGGAAGATTTTTGAAGAGAGTTACTTAGACATAATTTGACGATTCCTCTTTTTACTAGCTTAGAATGTGCCGAATTGTACGGAAGAATTGTTTTTATTCCTTGGCTCATATTTCCAGCATATATGAGTGTGTTGTAAATTGAGCCTGAGATCGAGGAATCGGATTGATCTTTCTTCCGGAAGCTCATAAGTGATTTCCAGTGGTTTTAGGCAGTTTATAAAAGTAGATAGAACACCGGCAATAGTGGTTGGAACATTACTGTTCTCGGCGTCAAGAATGATCAAATAATCATCGACGTACCGAAATACTCTAGCAACTCTGGTGGAGTCAAGCCAATTGTTCAAGAGTCTGTCTTGGTGGGCGAGATAGAGATCACTTAGCACTGGGGCAATGCACGACCCAATGCAAACACCTTTCTTCTGTAGATACGTTTTTTCTTTACAGGTAATAAAGGTGGAGTGTAGATAAACCAAGAGTAGATGTAGAAAATTGTCTTCGGAAGTACCCGAAGAAGTTTGGAACGCTATGCCACCAAAAGAATCAATACTCTCTTCTACACATCGCAAAAGACCGTCCTGGGGCAGTTCGTAGTACAGGTCTTTTATGTCGATGGAAAACGCTTCTAGGTGATCATAACTCTGCTTTGACAGGAATTGGATGACCTCGTTGGAACTCTTAATTAAGAAAGGGTCGTCAATTGTAAGAAGGTTTAGCTTTTCTTTGAGAAAAAGGGCGAGCGATTTTTGCCAAGTTCCCTTTTCGGATACAATGACTCTGAAGGGATAACCGGGTTTATGGGTTTTGGCACTGAAAAATACACTGAGGCCTAGCAACTTGTTGCGATCGATGTGGGTGCAAAGACTTTTTAGTTCACACGACTGGCACAATTGTCTAGCATATTTTTTGGCCTAACTCAGGGAGGCATCTTCTTGACATTGAAAAACTGACTCAATCGCTGAGATGGCTTTTGTCCCATACATATCTTGGTGCATGACAGCGAAGCCTCCTTCCTTGTCGGCAGGCAAAAGAAAAAAGGAATTCTCTTGTAGATATTGAACCACCTTCCTGGTAGAAAGAGAAGAGGCCTGCGGTACTTTTCGGAGTAGCAGGTCAACTCCTTCAGAAGTAACCCGGTCGACTTCCAACTCAGGAACACGGCGCGAGACCTGGCGGACAAACGATAGCATTTCATGCGGTGACCTTTTTGGTTCCACTATTGGTTCCATCTAGGCATACACTGCCGGGATTGCGGGTGCGACGTTCACTTGCCATCCTGTACAATTTTAGGCAGGAACAGAAACCAATTAACTCGAGAAATTATCGAAGCAGAACATATCGCCAGGAACTATAACAACTGTATAAGTACACCATCTTTACACCTGACAGAAAAAGAGAAAACATTTTTAGGCATCTAGGAGATCGGTGTGCGTGAATTGGGAAATTCGGTGGTGCTAGAGGTTAAAGAAGACAAAGTTATATAAAAAGAGTTGTCAGTCAGCGCGGTTTGTTTGAATTTTGCTTTATTTTTCGTGTGTAAGGTGTGAGTGTTATTTGCTATAGTGCGCTGTGGTGTGTGTTATCATGTGCAAGCAACTCGCCCAAGCTGCTACGTTAACAAGGGGCATCGCTTTACGCCAGCCCGACAGCTTCGACTTTTCGAACGCGGAACTGTGGCCCTCCTGGCTATCGCAGTATGAAGACTACGCCTTTGCATCGGGTCTTTCCTCGGCACCTCAAGATGTTCAGCTACGTCTGCTACTCTACTGCATGGAATCGGATGCCCGACGCTTGCTGCAGTCCTTTTCGCTGTCCGCCGAGGCGCCATACAACGCCGTGGTACGGAGTTTCACCGAGTACTTCGTCCACCCCGTCAACGAAGTATACGAATCGTCGCGTTTCCATCGGCGGGTCCAACAAGCGGAGGAAACCGTAGATGCGTTCTACGCGGAGCTGATGCGTCTAGTAAAGCGCTGTAACTATGGCACCCCGGAGGTCGAAGAACGTCTTGTCAGGGATCGTTTTGTCGTCGGTCTTCGGGACTCTCAACTGTCTGACCGTCTTGGACGTAACCCAAAGCTCACGCTCAAAGACGCGTGGGTACAAGCGCGCCAAGCCGAAGACGCCGACAAAGAAAAGGCAACCAAGGCAAGCACGGGTCAATCTGAAACTCCAGGAGGTCAAGGTGTCAATTTTGACGCGACCAAGCTCGCAGGTCGTCTCAAGCGGCGCGGCACTAAGCCTAACGCCACCAACGCTGCTCACGACCAGTCGTCTCGCGTCTCTACGGGCAGGCC